CCCCGGTCCCCGCCCCCTGGCGCCCGGCGGGCAAACGGCCAAGCCCCCTGGCGCCCGGCGGGCAAACGGCCAAGCCCCCTGGCGCCCGACAACCTAAAAAGGTTGGGGACCACTGATCTAGACCATCCCTGATACGTATTTGTCTAACTTGTTCTTAAAAACCTCCAATGATGGAGATTCCACAGTCTTTCTAGGCAATTTATTTTAGTAGTTAACCACCCTGACAAGCAGGAAGTTTATTCTAATGTCCAACCTAAATTACCCTTCCTGCAATGTAAGCCCATTGCTTCTTGTCCTATCCTAGGATGTTAAGCAGGACAGTTTTTTTTCTCTCCTCCTTGTAACAACCTTTTTATGTACCTGACAACTGTTGTGTCCCCTCGGTCTTCCCTTTTTCAGGCTAAGTAAACCTCATTTCTTTTTCAATTTTCCTTCATAGGTCATATTTTCTACACTTTGCTCTTCTCTGAACCTTCTCCAATTTTCCTCATCTTTCCTGAATTATGGTGCCCAGAACTGGACACTACTCCAGTTGAGGTCTAATCAGTGTGGAGTAGGGCAGAAGAATTACCTCTTGTGTCTTTTTTACAACACTTAGTTGTAAACTTTTGAAAGAACCGTAACGTTTCGTTCAGAGTTGCAAACATTTCAAAGTTATGAACAGCTTCCAGTCCTGGGGTGTTTGTACCTCTGAAGTTCTACTATATATCTTTCTTGCAGAATGGGTGTGTTTACCTTGGGAAGCAGTGATTCTGAAAAATATTTGGCAATGGGCATGAATAAGCAGCAGAACATGAGCTCTCAGTGTGATACTGTGATCAAAAGAGCTAATGCAATCTTGAAATGCAGAAACAGAGGAATCTCAAACAGGAGTAAAGAATATTTTTTTCATCTCTGCATTGATGTGACTACTGCTGGAGTAGTGTATCCAGTTCAAGATGTTTATGATTAAATATAGTGACAGATGCAAGAAACCTAATCTATTTCTCTATTTACAAGAGGAGGCAAAGGATTGACTTGATTAACATCTTTACATATCTCCCTGAGGAAAAAAATATTTAATAATGGGTTCTTCACTCTAACAGGGAAAGGTATAATACAATCCTGTGACTAGAGGTTGAAGCTAGGCAAATTCAGAATGGAAATAACATACACATTTTTAATTGTGAGAGCAATTTACAGTTGGAACAATTTACCAAGGATTCTGATGGATTCTCATCACTGATCATTTTAAAATCAGGATTGGATGTTTATTTAAAAATGTATGCTCTAAGAATGTGTTTAAAGAAGTTTTATGGCATGTGCTACACAATAAGTCAGAGTAGACAATCACAATGGTCCCTCCTGACCTTAGAATCTATGTATCTAAGTTAGAAGTCCTATAAAAACAAATTTAAAAGACCCAGCCCATAATCATTTGTTATCAGTAAGCCAATATTACTTTAAATTGCTGTATCAGTGATCAGGAAGGTGATAAACAATAGATAGTTATAAAGTTTAGCCAGTCATGAGCTAAGATTATTATGCTATTTGGGTACCACTTTTGAGTTTTGCTGCAAAGGAAAACTTGCCTGTCAGAAAACACTTTATCCTTCCTCAAGGGAGATGTAATTTTTATAGATGTGATGCTATAAGTAAAGTATAGATCCTTAAAAACAATGCCCCACATTCATCCCTCGCATAACTTCATTGAAGCCAATAGAGCTACAACATGAATTACATTGACCCATAATTTGTATAGTGTACATTCCCTGTAAGAACTGACTAGTATTACAAATGAGACAGAATCTATCCAATCCTAATTTTGATATGATTTGTATTTTCACTGTTATAAAATTACATTCATTGCAATTTGATTGCAATGAATGTTATTTTTTTTATAACAAACTACTACTATTTTCATATACAAACTAAAATATAAATGTCTTGTTAAAGAGAAAATGCTAAAGAAAGGAAAGTATACAGTAACTTCGATAATCTCAGGAGGGTTAAAAATATGATAATCTAATGGGGTTTATGCCACTGGAATGTTTAAATAATTTTAAAAGCCTGCCTGGTATTATAAACTGCATCAATTAAGGCAAACAGGACATTGTCTTCAGTGCAGTTTTTGAAAGGTACGTATATTGCACCAATGAGAATAGAAAGGTTCTGAAAAAAGAAAGCAGCCATGTAGTACGTGAAGAATAATCTTTCACAATTTCTTTGGTACATCTCTGGAACCTTCTTGCAGACCATTGAATCTCTCTGTAGCTTGAAAGCGTGTCTCCTTCACCAGCATAAGTTGGTCCAATAAAAGATGTTACCTCACCCACTTTGTCTTTCTTACAGGAATCCATTCAGTCTTCAAGGCTAGATTAGGGACTGGGTGATTGTTCTCAAAGGAAGAGAGTTTATATTATTGTGCCCTAATCATTTTGTTTGTGTTTCTATTTTCTGTCCCTTTTTCTTAGTGTTAAGACCCGCCCTGTGCGAATGCCTCCTGGTTACCAAGCAGAACTTGTTATTCAGCTGGTATGGGTAGATGGTGAGCCGCCACAACAAATCACCAGTCTGGCTGTAAATTCAGCCTACGGACTGTAAGTAACTAAAAGTCATGTTGTCTTGATTTATTCTTTACTCAACTAAGCAATGTATGTTTCAGTTATTCTTTGAAGTTCCCCTGCAGGGGACTTAATAGTCACGATGAAAAATCAAAAGTTGCTTTTGGTTATATTCTTGAATAAAAGATTACAAGAATAAATAACTCACATAAAGGGGGTAATATGAGATGCTTATCTAACATTCTCATAATCAAATCTTTCATTTAATATCTCTGTCCTTTCAATCAAAATCTAATTACCTTTCTGAGTTATAATTTTTTAAAAGATATCGTAGGATAATCATCAAATTACCTGCAGATTATACTAGGCGGTGCAATTTACACCTCCCTGTGTCACTCTGAAAGAATGCAGGCACTGGTGTCACTGCTGCCTTCACTTGGGTACCTGTTAAAAGGGACAGTTTTCATTTACAGCTCAGTCTTTCTAGCTGTCAGAGGTCTCCTGAGAAATGCAGCTGGAATAGGTTGTGGTGGGGATGCCTTGGTCATCCAACCAGCATAGCATCCAACACCCTCGGCGCATGCCAAGCAAGAGGCACTGTCGGTGCATGCCAAGCAAGAGGCACTGGCCACTCAGCTTACATTACCACAAATCACTCCGGTACTGGCTCCACTATCGCAAGCTTTCCCAGCACCCAGGTCTCAGGCACCCACCACCCAGTTGCCTGAACATTCCATCTCTGAGGGAGAAGAGCAGGCTGAGGTTAATGGAAGAGGAGCAAACATCTGATTCTCCTCCACCCACCTGTCATCCTCACTGTCATGGCCCCATCTTCAAAAGAGTGGTGGGCTCCCTGGAAATCCCACTACCAAGCATGCCAGAGAATCAGCATAAGCTGACAAACATACTTCATGCCTCTCTGCGTAGCCACCCCAGGGCAGACTTCTTCTTTTCCCTTCCTACCCCAAATTCTCTGGTGGTGGAGGCTGTTAACAAACTGCCTACACAATGCCCTCGGATGAGAACAGGAAGAGATCGGACTTGCTAGGGAGGAAGGCGTACTCCTCAGCCAGTCGGCGAGTCAAAATCTCCAATTATACTAAGCTTCTGGCAAAATACATGTACATTTTAAACCATCTGATGCCCTTTATTGAATTCCTCCCAGACAACAAAAGAGCAGTTTAGATCAAATATCAATGAAGGTGCTCTAATCTCCTGCACAGCTCTGCAAACCATACTTGTTTCGGCCAACACAGCGGCTAGATCCATATCAGCTGCAGTAGTTATGAGATGGGCCTCATGGCTGCAGCTCTCTGGGTTCCTGGATTTTCCCTTCGAAGACACCAAGCTCTTTGCCGAGTCCACTGATACCTCACTGCAGTTTGAGGGACTCATGAGCCACACTGAAAACACTTGGCATCCATGTTCTTGTCACAAACAAAAATCAGGGAAGGTCATTTACACACAAATACAGACCAACACCGTTTAACCAACAGCACAGGCAATACAACAACAAGTGTGGACCATGTCAGAATAGGTGGAGAAAAGCATCTAACCAGATATCAGCTCCACAACCAATCACTTCATGTCAGACCTCTTGAAGGGTTGTTTGAGGACCTAACAGACCCAGTATCTCCACAGCAGCAATCCATCTCATCTACACCATTTGGCAACAGACTAGCCTCATTTTATCCAGCATGGCACAACATCACCACTGACAGATGGGAGCTAGAAATTATTCAAACTGGTTAATGTATCCCCTTTTCAATTACTCCCTCGATCCTCCTTGTCCATCCCTTTTCATGGACCCCTCTCACAAAGCAGGGCTCCTACATGAACTGAACCATCTCCTCCAACTAGAAACCATAGAAAACATATTCCTAGAGCATGGGGGCAAGAGGTTCTACTCCCATTATTTTCTCACAACCAAAAAGACAGGTGGATGGAGGCTTGTCTTGGACTTCCACAACCTCAATCAGTTCATTCAAACTCAACATTTCAAAAAGGTAACCCTAGCTACCATAATTCCTGCCTTGGAGAAAGGAGCCTGGCTGTCTACCCTCAACCTCCAGGACACTTATTTTCACATCTCCCCACACCCAGTGCATAGATGCTTCCTCCAATTCCCCATTCGAGACCGCCACTTCCAATACAGAGTGCTGCTATTCAGACTACCAACAGCCCCACAAGTCTTTTCCAAGGTCATAGCGGCGGTGGCAGCACACCTGTGAAAATGGGAATTACCATCTTCCCATTCCTAGACTACTGCCTCCTGAAAGGTCTCAGAGTGCATGACACTGAACAGGCAGCCATCAACACCAGAGCCCTATTCGATACTTTAGGACTCCAGATAACTCTCCAGAAATGCACACAGTGTCTAGAAATCATACGGGTGCACCTAAATTGCCTAACGGCAGCAGCATCCCTACCAACACAAAGGTTCTCAGCAATTGTGGACCTAATATCACTAGCAAAAATGTCCATGTATTACAACACGACACTGCCTTCAATTCCTGGGCCACATCAGCCACCATGTTCATGGTACCATACACTCGTCTGCGTGTGCGATCATTGCAGGCCAGGCTGCACATGGTATACAGGCCACATAACCACCATATAAACAAACAGCTCACTATGCCCTCCAAAATAAAAAACTCTCTGTCCTAGTGGACCATCCGTGACAATGTTTGCAAAGGAGTGCCCTTCTAACTACCACAGCTGTCTGTAACCATCACCAGGGATGCTTCCCTTCACCTGAGTCCAAACAACACAACAACCTGCTGGAACTCAGAGCAGTTCACAATGCCTGTTTGCACTTCCTCCCTTTAATTCAGGACAGGACAGTGCAGGTAGGGATGGACAACCTTATCACCATGTTTTATATAAACTAGCACAGTGTGGGGCCTGATCCTACCCACTGTGCCAGGAAGAGGTTCCTCTATGGGAATAGTGCATCCCACAAAACATTCATCTAATTGCAGCCTACCTACAACCCAATGCCTGAGTTATTGCTCCATTGCAGGGGAAGGCCACCGCTCTCTGGGGGACACGTTCAGCATAAGTGGGAAGCTCCCCTGCTTCACACATTGCCTCCGTTTCCACTCCTGCCATGGGTAATTCTCAAAATAAAACAAGGCAAGGCCAGGGTCATCCTCATAGGGCCCTGTGGCCCAGACAAAAATGGTATCTGTACCTGCTACAAATGAACATAGCTTCTCCATGGTGCTTCCCACTAGCGTCATCCCTACTCACACAGCAGAACGGGCAGCTCCAGCATCTCAATGTACATACTCTGCACCTCCAGGCATAGCTTCTGGTTGGTGGACTCCTCTCCAAGCTGTATGTCCTGCATCTGTACAGGAAGTCATCATGAACTGCCGTAGACTCACTACAAGAAAGACATATAGACATAAATGACACTGACTCACTTAGTAAGGTGCTCTGAACAGAACTGTGCACCTGCATTCACAGACCTCTCATAGATTCCCCAATACTTAGTGTCTAAAGATCTCCAGTCTCTCCCTTACCTCTATTAAGGTGTACCCGGCTGCAGTCACAGCTTTCCATCCCCCCGTAGACATCTCTCTGTTTTTGCACATCCACCAGTTAAGCGCTTCCTCAGGGACCTATACAATGTTTCCACTGGTGAGAGACCCAGCTCCAGCAAGGGTCTTAAATTTAGTGCTGAGAACCATAACAGGCAAACCGTTTGAGCATTGGCCATCTGCTTGCTGCTTCATCTCTTGATGAAGGTTTCCTTTCTCATGGCAGTTATATCAGCACATAGAATAGGCAAGTTAGGAGCTCTCATGACGGACCCTTCTTACACTATCTTTCATAAAGATAAAGTAGTCCTCTGTGCACACCCAAAATTTCTCCTGAAAGTACTTACATTGTTCCGTTATAATGAACTAATTTCCTTACACATCTTCCAAGCTTCTATCCTAAGCCTCACAAGGACTTCAGGGAAGCAATCTTACATACCTTAGATGTCCACAGGGCAATTGCTTTTTACCTACAATGCACAAACCCTTCTGCAAGGCTTTTTGTCTCAACCACAGAGAAGTCTCAGGGTCTAAACAGACAATCCAGATGGATCTCAGGATGCATACTGTGATGGGATGAGGTCAAAGAAGACCTCTTGGTGCTTCCTGAGGTGCTGACAAAAGCACTGACACTTGCCTTCCTGATATTTGGGGCTTCTCACAACCCTGTCTGGCTGATCCAGCTCTCTGGTCTCTCCCAGCCAAGGCACAAAGCTGAGATCACTGCCCCCCTGAAGAGCAGTACAGACAGTGAAACTCTTCAGGTCCAAGGAATATGCAGGTTTGGGCCCAGCTTCCAGGAATACCACCACCCAAATGGGATCAGAACCCCAAATGAATTATTTAGGTAAGTCCCCTTCAACAATGAAAGGAAGATGTACGCACTGATTGCTACCCCAGGTAACAATCACTTACACTGGGCTTGATAGTAAATAAAAGTGATTTTTAATTACAAGTGGTAGGATTTAAGAGGTTGTAAGTGAAAATAGGCAGAGCAAAGTAGATTACAAATTTAAAATAACAAAAAACACTTAGCTTATTCTAACACTAAAACCTCAGTACAAACTTATTAGAAACTCACACTATAACTGTTCTTATTCCATTCAAAGCCTTCAAAAACCAGGGATGTCTCCTTTTCCCTGGGGTCTTTAATTATCCTCCTGGGTGTGCCATGCCAGCTAAAGAGAGAAACTGTTAGCTTCTCATTGTTTTATAGAGTCCACTCGGGGAGGGGAAGGAATTCTGTTTCTACACTCTGATATTTAAATATTAAATTTCAGGGTATTGTAGTAAGCTATAAATATTTTAAAATGGCAAAATGTATACATATAAAGCTCTTAAGTCAACATTTCTCAAATGGGGTGTCCAGGCCCAAAAGGGGATTGAAAAGCTATTGTAGGGGTATCATAATATTGTCAGCCTTACTTCTATGCTGCCTCCTGAGCTGGGTGGCCAGGGAACGGTAGCTGCTGGTTCGCTGCTCAGCTCTTGAGGTAGCACAGAAGTATGAATGGCAATACCATGACCCCTCTAAAATAGACTTGCAATCTCCTTTTGGGTCAAGATCCTGAGTCTGAGAAATGTTGTGTACTTTTACCGTATAGTGAATGTACACAAAAGACCATGTTGCATGGGGAAGACCAGATTTCATGGTCTGTGACACGTTTATATATCTAGGAATGTGGTAGGGCCTTAGTTATATATAATGTAAGGTTTGTGAACTTAATTTTCATTATCTACCACATGATTGTAATTACTACAGATCTGTTGTTCCATATGGCAACCTTTAGATATTATTAAAATAATAAAACATGCAAAGTGAGTGTTTAAGATAAATTAGATCTGTTTTGAATAATGTTAATTATAATATTTTAAGACAAGTTTGTTTGAATTCAGAATTATAAAATCATTTATAATTACAATTAAAAATTTAAGGTTTGAAAATAAGGTTTTAGGAAATGATTGCAAATTCACAACAGTAGCTATTTTAAATGATATTTTCTATTAATTATACCATATAATGCTAGACTATAATGCCTTTGAGGAACATTTCTTTTCTCAGTGTTGCATTTGGGAACTGCAATGGTTTGGCTGTTGTGGATTTTATGCAGAAGACAGTATTGCTGAGCATGGGAACCATTGACCTATACGGATCAAGTGATCCATACCAGCGACAGCCGCGTTCTCCACGCAAAAACAAGCAGTTCACTGCAGGTAGGAGATAAAATACAGTTGTTTTGAGCCTGAATCATTCTTTGATTTTTTTGCCTGCAGCTTTTTATAGTGCTTTTGAAATGCATGATTATCTGCCAGCCAGTGGAATTTATAGAACCACACGAAAGGAAATCTGACTATTCTTTAGATCCTGAAACTTCCTCAAATGCAAAGCATTATATATGAAGCTTAATTGTTTGGGATGGTGGTCAGCAAGTAATCTTCTTAGCTGAGTTCCTAGGTAATTTGTGAGGTGTAGGAAAACTGATTATCTTAACAATAGCAAACTCATGATATGCAAAGTCAAAATGCTACTTTTTTTTTTCCAATTGCTAAATGCCTCAGAGAGAGAAAGCAACATGTATTGTCTGGCAACTCACATGCTTTGGTCTTTAAATAAACCTTTATGGTTGAGGGACTAATTCAACACATCCAAGGGATATCTTCATTAAATAGTGGAAAGTAGACATTTTTATTCTGTTCCATTGGATATAGTAACTAGAGCGCTTGATAGAATCTTATTAAATCTGCCTGTATGACTTTTTTTAAAAAATATGTCAAGAATCACATGACAGATGTCATTAAGTGTTGCATGGTGGAAATAAGTTTTCACCAATACAGTTAAACTTTGCTTTATGTTTCTGTTACTATAAAATATACATTTGTCAGAAAATTAGTAAAATAAGTTTTTATATTTGTGTAAAATATTTTTGTCTGTTTCATTTTTACACAAAACAGTCTTGTTGACAGATAGTTACAAAATTTTAAAATTAGGTAACAAAACAATTTGAATGAAAACTTTCAGGGCTTATAATCTAGTCATGAATTTTTAAAAATGTAAAATGTAGTGTACTATTAATTTGACAATTTATATGTTCATCAATATACCCTATATTGAGGCACCAAGTCACATTCTCATTGGAAACTTAAAGAAAGCTCCATGCTCTACTTTTGTCCTTGAAATATTTTTCTCATTTTCCAAATTGTTAATCCCATCAGGTTCAGCTCTTAGTTATTCCAAGTGTAAGCATGATGTAAATTTGCCACAGCTGATGAGAGCAATTCATGGTCTGGCCAAAGGCCACAGCAGCTCCTGCATAATTTGGGGCTGCTCTGGTACACACACTTCAAGCAGAATCAATAGGAACTGCACAGATGGGGGAGTATGGGTGATATAAGACAAGCTGTACTGACTTTGCCCCACTTGAGAATTCCCTTGTATGAGGCAGAATCTTTGGCTGCTCCTTTAGGGCAACATTCTATGGCTACGTCTACACTGGCCCCTTTTCCGGAAGGGGCATGTTAACTTCAGCGATCGTAATAGGGAAATCCGCGGGGGATTTAAATATCCCCCGCGGCATTTAAATAAAAATGTCCACCGCTTTTTTCCGGCTTTTAGAAAAGCCGGAAAAGAGCGTCTACACTGGCCCCGATCCTCCGGAAAAAGCGCCCTTTTCCGGAGGATCTTATTAAAGGGCTTTTTTTCCGGAGGATCTGGGCCAGTGTAGACGCTCTTTTCCGGCTTTTCTAAAAGCCGGAAAAAAGCGGCGGACATTTTTATTTAAATGCCGCGGGGGATATTTAAATCCCCCGCGGATTTCCCTATTACGATCGCTGAAATTAACATGCCCCTTCCGGAAAAGGGGCCAGTGTAGACGTAGCCCAGCTGTTTTGTGCGGCTGATAAGTGAACCCATCATGGATAGATACCGCCTGAAAATAGGAACACTTTTTAGACCAATCTTAAAAACTATGCACCTGAATCAAACCTCAGCTGCTTTCTGACCATCCATTCCACACTCTTTACTTTTCTGAATTATTATTTTTCCTTGTTATACCTTCTGACCATAAGGTAAACATCTGCTGACATTTTTTCACCTTGGCTGTTCTAGATGCTGGTTATGGTATCACATCCTTTCACTTTAGACTGTTTTTTTTTTCTCTTTTTCCTCTGCCTGCTGCTGATGCTGGTGTACTGGCATGTTCCAAAGACAACTTTTGCATGCGTGGCCTGTCTAACTTTTATCCAGATTTAACGAAACGGATCCGTACTTCCTATCAGAGTAAGTTCTATAAAGGTTAGGCAAACAGCTTTATCACAATCAGAATATGCCTGACTTAAACCCATTATGTTTGTGCTCCGTAATGTGTTTCTTTAAACACATTCAACATGCATGCAAATTTTTTATTTTTTATTTTATGAGAAATTTAAACAATGTTGAGTGCGGACAATTATTTTCATTATACCAACATTTCAGGTCTATTTCTGCCACCAGAGACATCAATGACAAAACTCTCATTGGCTTACCATGGGGTTGGGCCTTAAAATGGATTGTTCAGCAATATTTACTTCCTGATGATCACTGTCATCCATTGTTGTTGTGTTAATTTTAACATAGATCTTCTTCTGCAAAGTGCCTCATGTTTTGAAGCGGTGCTGCCCCAGTGTAGTTGTAAATAAAGTAACTATTGTACTTTTTAGATCACCTATGAGGTCTATAGGAATAATCCGAGGTGAGCAATAAGTGGTGTGAGCTGGGCCACCACTTCCTGCAGCTCCCATTGGCAAGGAACAGTGAACCGTGACCAACGGGAGCATGAGTGGCCATATCTGCAGATGCTCAAGTAAACAAAGCGTGTGGTGGCCCGTCAGAGGCTAACCCTGGCAAACCATGTTTGGGCCACTTATTGCCCACCCCTGGAATAAACAATGGCATGGAACCCATGAATACTAAATTCTAATCCTTGGCTTACTGTGTGGCTTTGAGCAAGAGAGCCCATCTCTCTGAGTTTGGTTTCCACATTTGTAAAATAGTATAATACTTATATATCTGAAAGGAGGGTTGTGAAGATTAGCTAATATTTGTAACTAGCAGGTAAGGCCTATCGTTGACTGGGCAAAGTAATTTTGCATAGATGACACTTATAGGAAAGTTCAAACATTAAATAAAGGTAATAAAATTGTTTATTAATGTGTTTGCAAAAGGGAAGTAAAAGAACAGCTTTAAATTTGTAGGATTTCAATGTTAAACATTATTCATTTTATTGAATAATTACGATACATAGAAATTTGAATCAGAAACTCATGAAAAGTCCATTACTCTGTATGTGACTAATTTGAATTTTTGTGATTTGTAACATTAAACATTTCCTTTGCACTGAAAGTTGAATAGGTGACTCGATTTTAATTTTGTTAGTAAATATTTTATATGACCTATAATCATAATAGTCATGACTTTTTTGCAATGAGAAACAAAAATAATTATTAAATTAAATACTTATTTAAACCTTTCACCCAGCATATTCTGGTGTAAAAAGTAGTGCATTCAGCTAGTTTAAGTGGCAGGATTGTTTATGCAAAATTTGGTGTCTGTAGGTAACTGTGAAGTATGACTTTATTTTGCACAAACAAACTCTTCAAAATATATAATAGATATGCTTTCCAGGAGACATACCTATACTAGCCCTGACTGAATTAGCATGGTAAAAATACAACACAGCTGCCACAGTGCAAACGTCAGGAGGTCACCCTGAGTACATAACTAATGTACGTCTTGACTGGGTACATACTCAGAGTAGCTTGCCCTTCCTGCTGCTTGCATTACCATGGCTACACACTGTTTTTAGCTCTGTAGCGCAATTGGAGCTAGCACAAATATGTTTCCTGGAACTGGAAATTACACCTTCCCGTTCAAATTGTAAACATGTCCTTAATGAACTGGTCTCCAGGCTGCCTCTTGCTCAGTGCTTTTAAAGATAGTTCTTATAGATCTGGATAGGCCAATTAAGCTAAGTACTCAAGGAGGGCTAGGTAACTTATGGGGTTCGGTAGCTTACTAAAGTATGCGTACATAATGCCATTAAAATGTGGGATTGTTCTTATATGAGATGATATCTTCCCTTTCTCCATGCTGATTGTTCTTTACCTGCTTTTCATGCAATGTTTAGCCCAGCTGTAGCAATGCATTTTGTATTAAAAGTGGGTAAAATGTTTGAAGCATTTTAAAAATGTGAACAACTTGTTCACTAAATGTGAAGTCCATCATAAACCTGGGAATTTGTTTAAAAGAATGTTATTTGTGAGCGGAATAATGCATATGACAGAATGTTTTAAAGCATAATTGCCCAATTCCTGCTAATTTTACTTTGTCTGTAACTGGATGATGAAGAAACAAGCTGCTATCAAAAAATTTTTAAAGTATGTACTATCTGGGAAATTGAGGCTGGCATTGTTTGCCGAGCATACATGGGAGTCAGCCTTCTGATAATCTAGGTAGGTTGAGGCTGAACAGCGGGCAACTTTGTAAGGACAAGGAGAGCTAATGGAAGGACTTAGAGGGCATAGAACAATGAACCAAGAAGCTGACCTTAGAAGCACTGATTTGAATGGATTTGAGGAAGGCAAGCTTCCAGGCATTGAGGCCAGAAAGGAGGGGATTATAGTAGTCAAGGAGCATGATGATATTTGTTAATATGATATTTGTTGAACAAGAGTATTGTCAGAGAGGAGAGCAGTGAGTGGTTGGATTTAGGGTTGACAGATGGTTTCAGAAAAAATACCAAACAACAACAAAAAACACGCCAGGAAAAAGTTTGTTGGGCAAAAAAAAAAAAAGGACCCTGAGAAGAGTTAAACAAGCAACAACAATAAAAACCCACCATTGCCCCTTTAAAAACCGCTTTTTGGCCCTAACAGGATGCTGGCGGCCGCCCACCATCTTGTCTCCCTGCACGAGGCTGGACAGCTCCCCGGTAAGCACTAGGGTTGCCAGGCTGCCTCTGTATTGAGCCAGACAGCCTGGGATTTTCACCTCCTGTCTGGGGAAAAAAATCAGAAAGTACCGGGCATTTTAGGTGTCCGGTATTTTCTCAAATTTTTTATCAGACAGGAGGCAAAAATAACTGACTGTCTGATTCAGTACCGGACACTTGGCAACCATAGTTGGATTATTGGAAGAAATATGCATCCAGAAGAAGGATCTAGACCAAAATATATTGATGTTGTGTATGGAAGGAACCTGAGGTGGGAGTAAGAGGTTGAGGAGAAAAGTGAGAACTGGCGTGAGGGTGAGTCTCTGCTGCCAATCCATTGTGTTTTCATTGACAACTACTGGTAACCATGTAATGAGTGTCTCAGTTTCAGAATAACTGCACCTGTTCCCCCTTCCCTGGTCCATTCCAGGAATGTCCAGTCATGTCTCAGGTCTCCAGCAATCACCTGTCTCTGAGTAAGGACCCTTGTCTGACTCCCTTCTTACTGGGAGTTTTCAGGCCATTCAACCCCATGCCATACACAGTTATATCCCCAGTAAGCCAGTCTAGCCAATGGCATTGGTTTGCATTGTGCTTTCTCTGAAGGCTAAGTACAATGCATTGCAAGCAGTTACAGAGAAAACCTAATAAAAACAACAAACAGGTTTAAACACACACTAAACATACCAGGAGTAACCAATCTGTGTGATGGGGCCTGTGTAGGCCAGAGTCTTTTGCAAGGGTTGTGGCTCCCTTGGATAGAAAATCCTGTTTATTTGCTAGATTAGACAGAAGGCCTAAATCAGTTTAAATGCAACCAAAAGCCCATTCATTATCTGTTGATCTCTGGAAAATCCTGTTTGAACTAGTATATGAAAGCCTTCCCAGGGCTGATACCTGTCTGGAGGTGTTTACAAGCCATATGATTCAGTTTAGTCTCTTACCATTTTTGGTTGGAGGAATTGACGTAATCCTCGCCTCTTGAGTTGCATATAATTCCTAGTCCATAGTTGTATATACAGTTAATACAATATGGTCTCCAAAAACCACGATATCTGTCATAATGATGCTAACTGCAGATAGAACATGGTGTAATAATTCAGTGTGGAGGCGATGAACAGGGCTGCCATAGGATTTATGGGGCCCTATGCCAAACTATTAAACTAATGCCACTATGCCCAATGGCAGCCTGGGGTGAGGGAATGATGATTTTTTTAGAGCTGTGATTTTATAATCTTCAGCAAGACATAATGAAATATTTTAAAGCAAATTTTAAACTAAGGTCCTGTAGGCTAATGCAGTAAATTCAGAAACTGACAGAATATACCTGGGGTTGGCAGATGCCTGTTAAATGGTTCCATTACTACTTGAATGGCTCTTTCACAGGGTCAATATGATGCTAATAGCTCTGGCTGGCTTTGTCACTTTTAAACTAACTAGATCCTCTCCAGAGGAAGCAGACACACATGATAGGGATAAGAAGAGGTGGGTGAGTCAACATTCAGACCCAATGGTGCCCCTACAGAGCTGCATATTCTGCATATTGGCTCTTGTGATGGACCAGGATAACCGTCCACATCAAGCTGCAGTTTCCTTTTCAAGCAAAGGTGCAAAAGTTATCTGGGTTGTTTCTACTATGAGGACTAATAAGAATCCAGTTGAGTCCCTACAAACCTTCTCTGAAAGCGACAAAGTATCTCAGTGGAAGGCTCCTATGTCATCAGATAAAACATAAGAACGGCCATACTGGATCACACCAAAGGTCCACCTAGTCCAGTATCCTGTCTGACAACAGTGGCCAATACCAGATGCCCAAGATGCCTCCTTTACTTTCTTTTCCCCTGTCAAGATAGCATCATTTTTGCCATATCCAAACTGAGCTTCAGTCAACTACAAGTGCCAATCCTGGCTTGACATTGGATGATCTGAAAGACTGTACTTGCTGCATATTATGCAAAAAGAAGTAGAGTTGAGTAATCTGCTTATACTCGTAACATTGCATCCCAGAGTATCTCACTATGTCCCTCAGCAATTTCCCATACACCATGGCTGTGTCTACATTGGCATCCCTTTCCGGAAATGGGATGCTAATGAGACACTTCGGAATTGCAAATCCGCGGGGAATTTAAATATCCCCCGCGGCATTTGCATTTACATGGCTGCCACTTTTTTTCGGCTCAGGGTTCTTGCCGGAGAAAAGCGCCAGTGTAGACGCAATTTTCCGGAAAATAAGCCCTTCTCCGGAAGATCCCTTATTCCCTTGAAAGTAGCAAGGCCCAACAAGGGCATTGGGCTGGGAATCAGGAGACTA